CAATCACACACCGCTGACTCCGGACGGTATCTAATTAGATACCAAATACTGCCCTATGAAAAAATATTTTTTTGTTTTAAACAAAACCAAAGACAATATGCAATGAATAATAAAGTCAATATGCAATGAATATTAAGCAAATTATGAAATTCGCTTGATTATGATCTCATAAACTATATTTATTTAAATTATTGTTAAATACTTACGTCATTAGAAAGTAAACTTCCAAGCCAAGAGGAAGCAGCTAACTATTTTAATAGGTGTTATTGACTAGTCACGGAATCGTGGAGATTTCATCTTTCTGCTGATTTGCTCCAAAATTATATAGTACGTGTTGATTGGGCCTGTTTAAGCATACATACATTTTTTTTAAAAAGAAAGAAATGTAAATATTTACCAGTAAAATAGCTATGCTTTTTGGTTTATTTCTTTGTTTCAATTTTTGAAAATTTTAATTATAAATTTACACATACACATCAAATTACCAAAGGCACATAATAATGAATCCAATAGTACTGAAAAATGTCCCGAAACAGTAATATATAATAACTTTTAAAGTCCTTCCGTGCGTGTAGCATCAGCTGATCTGCAGTTGATGATGTGAGTTTCACCTTTATTCTGTCGCGCATGCGCAATGCGCAAATAATTGGCTTGGAAATGCCACGACATAGAATAATAACACCTAGAACGATAGTTCCCTACAAAGCGGACGTTCTTAAGTGAGGCAAAAACAAAATCTATGTGTGCGTAAGCCACTTGTGTTTACGCTAGACGAAACGCACTCAAGTGAAAAAATAATTTTGCCAATACATTAAATTGTCCCCAAAGGTTGAAACTATATTGGACTAATAGTTACGACGTAACGTATGACTGATACAAATGTGGAAATAAGTTTTTTGATTCTGTTATCGAAGTGTAGCCCGCCAAATTCAAAATATTCTTGAAGAGCGTATTTGCCTCTCTAGCCAAGTGAGATTTTTATGAGCCATCGAAATGTGATTGCATCATATTTTTCTTTGTTACTGTATAGAGACGTTATAATTATATGACTAATGCAAGTTCGATATACACACCCGCCCGATACCCGACACATGACTGTTCGACGAACGATTGATCGAATTCAGTATATATTATTCAGTTTGTTTTTAACTATTTTTTTAAATAATTGTTGAGTAATGGTGTACCGCACCTCACTGCATGCATGATGTAAGCTACATTACAAAAAACACAAGATCATTTTAATTTTGCCAGGTTTCACACAGTAGATGCATTTCAGCTTAAAGTGATTGGGAAAAATTTATTAGAAAAACACAAATAAAAATTAAAATCATTTATTTCGGTAGCCTTGTAACTGCAACTGTTTCCTGAATAACTGACGCTTTCATGATACGAATCGTAAAGTATTTTCTTTTTTTGGATTCATAGAACAGTCTAATTCTTAAGTAGCGCTCGACAATAAGTCTTATCAAATTCGTGTCATGGAAGTGGGAGTTAACGTGTTCTATAGAAAATATACGAGTTCCTCCTATGAATCTTCTCATAATTAGAAGTGTGATTTCTTTTTCGGAAATATTGCCTGGATTTTCTTTTAGATAACGTCTCAGAACAGTACAAATAGAATAAACTTCTTTTGAGGCGTAAACCAATCCACCTTTATCCCTCATACATACTAATTTATGGAACCAAAGTTTCTCTTTTGCAAGCATGTTATCAATGCAATATTTACATTTTACTCGGGTTGTGAGATGTCTAGCTACATTTCCAGCTATATAGCCAACAATGTGGTTTCTGCAGTTAGGATCATCGCTACCCGATGAAATTTCGAATCCGACATCATTTGGAATCGGTGTTTTCAATAAGTGTTCAGTTAATTCTTTTTCTTCATCATCAAATCTTTCGGAAAATGAAGTATTATTGATGCAAGTTAAAGCAGATGAACATGTTAAAATAGGTATGTTTTCGAGTGGCACGCAGTTACCAGTTTCACTTACTTGCTGTTCCATGCGGCAGAGCAGTTTTCTGTAGCTACCCTTAAATTGTAGAGCGTTTGGATTGTCATTATGTCCGCTTTGCATTCTTATCAATCCAAAAAGTAGCTCGATATCGTGCTGGCTCAACCTGTAGGTTGTAATATACTCCAGTTCTTTTGTATCTTCAACTAAGGTATTATATAAGTACTTAAGGCTCTCTATGCAAACTAACAATCCTTTAAAGCCAGGAGAGCACTTTACAGTAAGGGCCGATTGGAAGCTTTTGATTTTGAGATGTATTGAACTCTCTTTTTCATTGTATTTGCGCTTTCTAGTAGTTTTAATCTTTAACTGAAGTATATATTTTTTGGTTTTCTCTAAAAAATCAAATATTTCCTTTTTATTAGAATTTGAAAGAGGATGGCAAAAACCATGTTGTGTTAACCTTCTCGTATTAAAAATGTCGAACAGGTCGTTGAAAATCATGATAAAATTTTCTGTGCCCTTACTATTCTTGAAATCGTCCAATTTCAAGACTTCGCGGCAAAATTTCAGTGCCACTGCTACACTTCTGCTAAGTAGTTGAACTGCTAACTTTTTCATAATAGAGTTCCTAAACTCGAGATGTTTACGCGTTAGTTTATTAGCAATTTGTAAACCTTCTTTTTCTTGAAAGTCATTTAATTTTGTTAAAAATTCCCAGTCCACTTTATTTTCATCTTGGTCTAAGAATACTTTTTTGTCTTCGAAATGATTCCGAACCAGTTTGATCATATGACTGGAATCTAAAAACACCGCTACCTCGTTATTAACTGCTGGGTGTTTGAATGTAGTTTTCATATTCTCTACGTCCTTTAGTCGGCATCCTAATAATTCCATGGCTGATATATTTGTCGAATGTGCGTCAAATGTTAGAGCAACCACTTTTACACCTACCTCTTCACATTTAGTCAGGCATATTTTTATCAGGTTAGCTTTTTGCCCCCCCGGTAAGACCATGCACCAAAAAATATCCCAATGGGATCTTCCAGTGTTCATTCAAGCACACAAGAATAAAAGTATAAGCTTCCGTAGCCTTTGTTGTACAATCAGATGTACCTGTGCCAATGTCTACACGCCTGTGGCCTCCTTTTATATTTTGTGGTCGTATTGCCATTTCATCTGTCACTAAAGCACATATTAATTTCTTCTGTGTACATTGTAATATTTTCGATTTCAAAATATGAAATGCTTCATCTGTAAAACCAGGGGAACCATTTATGGTTTTATACCAGTTGTAAATACGTCCGTCCCCCCAGAAAGCCCAATCGAGCTAGGTGTATTTTCAATATATCAGAATTTAGAGCAAAAATGGAGCACCTCTACAGTCAAGTAAAAAAATTGGAGCATTAATACGAACGACGCTGCGAGCTAAAAACCGTGGGCTTGCTGGCGTCCTGTCCCGTCAGCACGCCCAAGCTAGATCTCGGGAACCGTTGAGAGTACTATCGTGTATTGTGGTTCAAATTTCGAGCAAAATTGGAGCACTCTGCTCCCGTGAAATCAACTTCGAAACTAGAATGTGAAAGGAGTTAGACGTGATTAACCGGTGGGCTTGCTGGCGTCTTTACGCACACGTTGTAAATAGTTTTCGGATGTGGGAGGCAAGTATTAAATGTTTTACGAACATAGATGTAAGCTCGTGGCGAGTAAAAATGCAAGGTTAGACAGAATTTCCTAAATTCTGGAGCGTATTTAGGCATCGGTCGTTTTTTATCTTTACATATGTTTTTAGCTAAGCTACTGTATAAATCTGTTGCAAATACATTTTCCGACAAAATATTGGATATTTCATTATTAATATATCTTTTCTTCCGTAAGACTACTAAAATATTTTTAAGAGTGGCATTTCTTTTCCTTAAGCGTCGATTTTTTTGCTTCAGAGTCTTAATCTTTCTACTGTGTTTTTGTTGCAACAAGATCTTTTTCCTTAGTTGTCTCCGTAGTGAAGCCTTTTTAGGTGAATCGAAAATAAAATCTAGTTCTGAAGATAAAGGTGTCATTGAAGCGCTTAGATTAACATTTTTGTCCGTCTCACAACCTGAGGATCCCTGAAAAACATTTATAAAAATAAATAAAGTAGTAAGTATGTATCTGCCCCACATACTGATTTACTGGTAGAGAATGCCATAAGTCATAAAGTCCACTGTTTATGCATCTTATTCGTGCAATAAAGAAAATATAAATAAAAATAAGCCAATAGCTACTCGTCAATCGACATAATAATTTACTGTTAGTTTAGTTCCTATATTATTTGGCATTTGGCTCGTCGGTCGTCGCTAGAGAACGTACATGTGCGGGTTGCTCTCGAGATTTATTTTTCTAAGTTAGGAAATCCGGACTCTACCGTTATAAAAATGTGTTCAAATGAAACATCATAGTTTGATATACCTATAAAATATGAAGTACAGTACTAAATTCTTGAATTTCTAACTATGAATATTTTGTGTGTAAAAAGTGCAGTGACGAAAATCAATCTGTGCGCGTGGCGTGAAGTGCCGAGCCCGCATCGCGCTCTTTCGCTCTAACGGGAGCTAGCTATATCTGTTTTGTCGCACGGTGTTATTATAACATTCTTGGAATTCAGAATTAATTGTCCGGCATGTGGCAGTAACATTGATGTTGAGGAGATGATTAAATGCAATGGATGCAAGGTGGAATACCATTATAGATGTGTGAATATTATCTCGGCTGCGTTTAGGGAAGAACGAGAACATTTGAAACGTACTTTCAAGTGTGATTTTTGCTTAAACATAACCCAGCGTATACGGGTAACCGACGACACACCAGTACGTGGCGTTCGCACGGCCTGCCTCGTTGAACATAACCAATCTTTCGAGGGAAATGTTTCTCAGGCGATAGCAGAGTCGTTAACATCGGACGAGATAATCGATAAAGTTGGGAGAGTAATCATGGCAAAAATTTGTGCTTTTGAAACCAACATTGTACAAGAAATTAAAAACACTGTGGCAAAATAGTAAATTAAGGCAGGAATTGAAGGATGCTAATATGAAATGTAGTTCTTATGAACAACAAATTGAATGTTTAAAAGCTAAGAGGCAAGTGTTAGAGATAAGCGAGGAAAATGAAAGTTATGATATCAGTACCGAGTGCCAAAATCGACGATTAATATCTACAATACCAGAGTGTACTGAACCAGCTATTTCGTCCAACATCAACAATAAGGGCTATAACGCGCGGGCGACCGCGCTGTCGAAGCCCCCGCGAACAAATTATGCGGCGGCGGCGGCCAGGAAAGCAGTGGATACGAAAGTCGGCGATAACGATGGTAATGATTGGATAGAAGTCAAAAATAAAAATAAAAGGAGGAGTAACCTTATACAAAGAGGAGGTAACAAATCAGTTATTTTTATAAAAGCAGTTGAACGTAGAAAATTTTTACATGTTTGGAGACTGGAAAATGCACTACAGAAGAAAATCTACAGGAGTTTTTAAAAAAAATACTGGGAAACGAGTCAGAAATCGTTATTGAAAAATTAAAACCTAAAACTGAGCGAGAATACGCGTCGTTCAAGATTGGTGTTACGTTAAGCGATTATGACAAGCTTTGTGACCCAGAAGTATGGCCAGTAAATGTAGAATTCAGTGAATGGATTTGGTTTCGCCGCTCAACCAAAACAACCAAAACAAACAAATCGGAAACCGAGTAGACATTTTATCGTTTTTTACCAAAATGTCAGAGGACTGCGGACAAAGACCACACAATTTTTATCATTATTAGAATCATCAGGATCTGATATATTCTCTATTACTGAAACTGGCTTAAATGAAGCGATTCAAAACTCAGAATTCGTGCTCCCTGGATACCAAATATTACGATGTGACCGGGCAGATGGGCGCAAACAGGGAGGCGTACTTTTAGTGGCCACACAGCGGTTCGAGTTGCGACGAGTGACTGTGCTAGGTGATTTTAATATTGACAGTCAAAAGTTTGAACTAATTTGTGCCTCTGTTTATATTCAGAACCATTTTTTATTTACTTGTTGTGCCGTGTATATACCGCCGCAGACGAGAACGAATATATGTTAATGTTTAGCATATTAGAAAAACTATGTGTAAAATATAAAACTAATTTAGTTATATTAGGGGACTTCAATATGTACTCTTGTAATAATAATATATCTAATCATTACGAATATTTCATGGCCTTCTGTGAATTCACTCAGTGTAATGTGGAGCCTAATTGTAACAATAGGCAGTTGGACCTCGTGGTAAGTGCCGCGGACGAGGGCCTGCAGCCCGTGGACGCGTACCACCATCCACCGCTTGCCGTGCGCATTGAGCTCGGCGCACGTGCGCCGCAGCTTCCCCCCCGCAACCACTATACCTTCTGGATCGCCGTGTATACGATACTCGTGCTCACGATCCCCGATAACTCGGAAATTATGGAATTTTAATAAAGCCGACTTTATTCAGTCATACAATTTATTTACAAAAATAGACTGGAATGAGATATACTATATACAAACCCCGGACGACGTTCTAAATTTATTTTATGATAATATATATGATATTTTTGACAAGTGTGTTCCCCCAAAAAAATATATGAATTCAGTCAATAGGAGATATACTTATCCGGTTTGGTACACGCCTGAAATAATTAAGGATATAAAGCTGAAATATAAATTACATAAAAAATATAAATCTAGCAAAGCACGCAATGATTACGAGGAGTTCTCTCGATGTAGGGCAAGAGTTAAAGCCGAGACTGCACGAGCACATGACCAGTACCGCGACCGCGTGCAGGGACATTTGGCAAAGGATCCGCAAGCGTTTTGGGGGTACATAAGATCTAGGAAAGGCGATTCGAATCATCGAAGGTTAATCAATGACGGACGGGTACTATCAGAACAAGAATGTGCGAATGAGTTCGCTCGGTTCTTCCAGTCGGTTTACAATCCGACGCCTCCTAAGCTGAGCGTGGCGGCGGCAAGCATAAGCGCGGCGACGGGTGCGGCGCCGGGTGCGTGGGCGCATCTCGCGTGCTTACGTCCCGCAGACGTACGGCGCGCACTTGCGCGTTTACCGCCGAAGTCCTCGGCGGGACCCGATGGTATTCCGGCGGTTATTTTTAGGGACTGTCGTGCAGTATTAGTAAAGCCGTTGCTACACATATTCAATATTTGTATTAAGGCTGCAAAGTTTCCTGATCGTTGGAAACTCACTCGGGTAGTACCCGTGCCGAAAGGTAGCAGAGGTTCAGCCCCCAGTGATTATAGACCCGTGGCGGTATTATGCACTCCAGCTAGTTTTTGAGTCAACCATTCACAGTAGTTTGTACCCACAAATAAGTGCTCTGTTGTCCGACGCACAGTACGGCTTCCGTCCCGGGCGAGGGACAACGGGGAACTTGCTCGAGCTAATGACACACATAGTACCAACGGTGGATGCTGGCCAACAAGTGGATGTTGCCTATTTCGATTTTAAAAAGGCATTTGACACAGTAGACAATGACGTCCTACTAGCGAAGTTGGCTAGCGTCGGGTGCACACCGCATACGCTATCATTTTCGCCTGTTATTTACGAGACCGATGTCAGTATGTTGACTGCAGCGGGCGGCTTTCCGAACCCTACTTTACAAGATCAGGTGTCATTCAGGGCAGTAATTTAGGGCCTTTTCTCTTTATTCTGACAATCAACGATTTGCCTGAAGTAGTCAATAAGTCTACACCCCTGTTATTTGCTGATGACCTAAAATTAGTTTTAAAAATAAAGCAGCGGGCGGATCATGAGTAGTTACGTTGTACCAGTTCTGGCGCACTTGTAGAAAGGTTGTACCAGTTCTGGCGCACGACGTTCGTCGACTCACGATCCTAAAAAAAAAAAAAAAAAAAAAGGTTTTGGCATGCTCTGATCACGAATCTGCGGTCCATTTTTGCGTAGGATGCACGGTTCCGGAGATGAGCAGATCAATTAACTCTTATCTAATTGATATCCGCTGCGAGCCTCAACCGTCATTAGCGCTCCATTGTCCTTATCTACTTATTGTCCAGCGTGTGGGTCGGCTTATGCTATTGTATTATACTCCTTTGTTCCTATCTACAACACTAATCTGAATCATCAATAAAACACATTACCTAATTTTGTTAAAATTTTTATTTATAAAATACAAAATCTTATTGCTTATTTATTATCTATAAAATAGGAGTGAAACATCTCATCCACTAACATATCGTTGTACAATGTGTTCTCTGTAAATATACTCGTAAAACTATGCATTGAACATCCCTGAAACTTATATAGCAAATACATTAAGCAATATTCGCCACAAACTGAAGTCCTATCAACATTCCAGTTCCATCTTTTACAATTTCGTACAGGTGCCCGTCCATATGAATCAAAATATTCACCGACGTCATTCGTATCGATATATAAAGCTACCCAATGTGACCCTGGTTTATCATCTGTACCCAAATTGCATATTACCTAGTCAGGTCATAAATTCTATCACATGCTTAATATAAAATAATTGAAACAAGTTTATTCATTATGTAACCATTTATATACCAAAATGAACTTAACAAAACATAGATTCTTATGACACTATAGTTTATTCAAAATGACCTCCGTAATTTTGAATACAGGCCTTCAATCTGCGCGGCCAGTCGTCTATCTCACCACGAACGAGGTCCATGTCATATCGGCGGCTGCCTTAATTAAAGATGTCTTGAGTGACTCGAAATTGGGATGAGGCTTTGAGCACGCCTTTTCCTCCAAGTGTTACCATATCTTGTAATCTAACGGATTCAAATCTGGACTGGTCTTTGTGTCGGATGAAGTCGATTTCACGCGCCGCCAACCAGTCTTTTTTTTTTTTTTTTGTTTTTAAAGAACGTTACCTCCACACTAGGTTTTTCTCCTGTATCGTGGGGGCAGTTTACAAACACAAATTTCACAAGGACAAACATCCAAACTCGGAACAATTACTTGTAGGTCGTACAAATACTTGTTCCGTGCGGGATTCGAACCCGCGACCCTCAAGCGCAGCCACTCATTGCTAAGCCACTACGCCACGGAGCTGTCAAAAGTCTTGTGTGCTCTTCGCTCTATGAGCTGACGCCGAATCTTGTTGGAATACCCAGTGCCTGTTATTGAACATGGTATGAGAAACAGGTTACACAAGGTTCGGCAGGACTGTATTTTGATACACAACTGCATTCGTTTTTAACCTTTCTCACAAAAATGTACCTCTGTTAAGCCCCAATAAGAAACTCCCAACCATACCATGAGCGAGGATGGAAAATGACCTCGTTGGACACGCGGAATACGGTTGCTCGCTTCTTCACTACTGTGTGCGTACACCTTATCATTTTGTTTGTTGTAGCTCTCTTCTACGGTAAAAATTTTTTTATCCGAAAAAAGAATTTCCCGATATTTTTTTCCCGCGTACCGTTTCACCAAAGCGCGGCATCTCTTCAGTCTCAGATCCATTAGACGAGCATTCAAACGATGTCCTGTTTTTCTTCGATATGCCCGAAGCCCTAAGTCTTCATTTAACGCCGTGGTTCTGCTTAACCCCATCTGAAGGGCCAACAGTTTCTGCTTACGTTTGGGATTTCTTTGAATTCGCACCTTTACAGCTTTTATCACTGCTGGAGTCCTAACAAATCGAGGGCGACCACTTCTTGACCTGTCATCTACACTAGAGTCTTCATTGTATCGTTTGATGGTACGATAAACGAATCTTTTGGTTATATTCAAATTTTTCAGTATATCAAAAAATTTAATTGGCGCGTAATCGCAACTGCAACACGGTCTTTTTTAAGCGTCCACTCCATATGTAAAAATGAGTAAAATTCTAAAAATTATACAGTTTTATTTTCATGAACAATTCGAATTCAATAAACTTTTTTGTGGCCAGCATTCTAAAAGAAAAATTTTTACTGTGTGACAATACTTATGACCTGACTAGGTATATACGTTGGTACGTGGGTGTACATGGGCAGTCTGTTAGCAGCATAAACATTATTTTCTAGACTGGGGTGAATCTTTTTCAGATGTTGTTGTACATCTAGTGTATCCATGATATTACTGCTATTAGTAGATTACTACAGTACAATCTACTCAATGACTAACATAGGAATGATCAATTATGTGATTTCTAAATATTAAATTGCATTTTTTCTGTTATACAAAACGTATTTGAGTCATCAATACACTGAATAAGACGCAACACGAAGAATGTGAGATAAGGTTGTTGACGCATAAAGTTATTATCAATTCTACTGTAGAAATTCTTTAGATTAGAATTATTATTTACTGGTACTATATAAGACCAAGCAACTGCAGTCATGGAGTTAGTGTATGGTCGTTTGACCGCAGTGTATCTATCAATAATACATTTGCGTTACTTCAACGCATCAAAGGCCATAGATGTAAGTGTTTAATCTATTGACAAACTTACTTTTCTTTCTGTTATTTTTTTACGTGTGTATGATTTTGAACGACAGGCCTGTTGGTCTAGTGGTTAGTGACCCTGACTGTTATGCCGGAGGTCGTGGGTTCGATTCCCACCCAGGACAAATGTTTGTGTGATGAGCACGATCATTTGTTCTGTGTCTGGGTGTAATTTATCTATAATATTTATGTATTTAGAAATATATGTATAAGTATGTTTATCAGTTGTCTAGTACCCATAACACAAGCTCTGCTTAACTTGGGACTAGATGGCGTTGTGTGATAGTTGTGGAATATTATTATTATTATTATTATTTTTAGTGTTAACAAATTATATTTAAATATTTTGTGTGTGTATATGATTAAGCCGTGGTAGCTCAGATGGTTAGCGCAAGCTGTAAATTTTACAGTACGTAACGCGGGTTCGATCCCCGCCGACACCAATTAAATTGTTAATTGCAATTTTAAGTGTTTATTCTATTGACACACTTACTTTTCTTTCTGTTATTTTCTTAGTGTGTATGATTTAGTGTTAACAAATTATATTTAAATATTTTGTGTGTGTATATGATTAAGCCGTGGTAGCTCAGATGGTTAGCGCAAGCTGTAAATTTTACAGTACGTAACGCGGGTTCGATCCCCGCCGACACCACTTAAATTGTTAATTGCAATTTTAAGTGCTGATTTACCACGTGCTCGGCGGTGAAGGAAAACATCGTGAGGAAACCTGCATGTCTGAGAAAATTTCGAAGGCATGTGAAGTTCGCCAACACGCATTGAGACCGCGCCGCGGACATTTCCTAGCCATAAATAAAAAGACAATAGCAGAAAGTAAAAAAGTTAAAAAATACTTTTTTAACAATGACAGTCATTAGTTGATCATTAGTGAATGTGATTCTGTTTTCTTAAATTACAGGAAGAAAAGAGCAGAAGGAAGAAATGGGGTGATGGGAAGTAATGAAGAATGAATTGTTATGTGAAGTTTGTTGGAACAAACATATTTTAGTTACGTGTAAATACTTTTAACATTTTGGTTCAAAATGACACAAAATCTAAAAAAATATTAGATACATCATCGACATGGACGGATTTTACATTACATATCCTCATAAACATTTTCAATGTAGAGAAATGGCTATTCTAGACGTAAAACTATCTAATAAAAATGATTCGTTTATCGATCATTATTTGTTTCAGCCAAGTTATCCATTCAATTATTTGTCGCCAAAAGACAAAAAAACTGTTCGTTATTGTGAAATACACGTGCACGGCATTCCATATTTTGATGTGACCGAAGAATTAAAATGTGCCTACAAACAAGAGAACATCATTCCCATATTAAATTGGTATATTAGAAATTTGTGCAAAGACGAAGTGATCGCATACAAAGGTGGTTCAACAGAAAAACAATTTTTAAAAATGTTGACGACGAATGACAGAATTTTTAATATTGAAGAATACAAATGTCCAAAATACAATGATTTGGTAAATGTCATAAATTTAAACAAACGTTATGTGTGTAGTAATCATATATTTGCAAAAAATAATCACAAAATTTTACATTGTTCTTGTGACGAAGTGTGGGTTTTTTACAAGTGGTTATTACTTGAAAATAAAATTTTAAATTAATCATAAATTTTGTTTGATTTCCAAAAAACATTAGACAAAATTGGTTCAACAGAAAAACAATTTTTAAAAATGTTGACGACGAATGATAGAATTTTTAATATTGAAGAATACAAATGTCCAAAATACAATGATTTGGTAAATGTCATAAATTTAAACAAACGTTATGTGTGTAGTAATCATATATTTGCAAAAAATAATCACAAAATTTTACATTGTTCTTGTGACGAAGTGTGGGTTTTTTACAAGTGGTTATTACTTGAAAATAAAATTTTAAATTAATCATAAATTTTGTTTGATTTCCGAAAAACATTAGACAAAATTGGTTCAACAGAAAAACAATTTTTAAAAATGTTGACGACGAATGATAGAATTTTTAATATTGAAGAACACAAATGTCCAAAATACAATGATTTGGTAAATGTCATAAATTTAAACAAACGTTATGTGTGTAATAATCATATATTTCCAAAAAATAATCACAAAATTTTACATTGTTCTTGTGACGAAGTGTGGGTTTTTTACAAGTGGTTATTACTTGAAAATAAAATTTTAAATTAATCATAAATTTTGTTTGATTTCCAAAAAACATTAGACAAAATTGGTTCAACAGAAAAACAATTTTTAAAAATGTTGACGACGAATGACAGAATTTTTAATATTGAAGAATACAAATGTCCAAAATACAATGATTTGGTAAATGTCATAAATTTAAACAAACGTTATGTGTGTAGTAATCATATATTTGCAAAAAATAATCACAAAATTTTACATTGTTCTTGTGACGAAGTGTGGGTTTTTTACAAGTGGTTATTACTTGAAAATAAAATTTTAAATTAATCATAAATTTTGTTTGATTTCCAAAAAACATTAGACAAAATTGGTTCAACAGAAAAACAATTTTTAAAAATGTTGACGACGAATGATAGAATTTTTAATATTGAAGAACACAAATGTCCAAAATACAAATAAAATTTTAAATTATTAGTTACAAAATTTATGATTAATTTAAAATTTTATTTTTATAACTCCTCCTTCCACAATAAGTAGCCAGATGTAAGGCAGTGTCTGAGTAATACTGCATATTTTACGGGCATGTTGTTTTCTTCCAGCCTTCTAGTTACAATTGAGATGCAGTCTTCAACAGGTAAGCATGTAAACAATGACTGCACATCAAAACTGACCATAGTTTCATTGTCTGCCAGATGTAGGTCTTTAATCTCGCTGACAAAATGGTATGAATCCTTTATGTGTGCTCTTATATGTCCTCTGAGCGGTGAGAGTATTTTCGCTAAGTGTTGAGCCAATCTGTAAGTTGGTGAATCGATTTGGCTCACTATGGGACGTAATGGAGCATTGGGCTTGTGTATTTTTGGTAACCCATACAATTTTGGTGATTTGGCGCACGTAGGTATTATCCATTTTACGTCCAGATTTAATTTTTCGGAGTGTTTCTTTATGAGATCACTAGTTGTTTTTAGTGTGCTTTTATTTGTTGGGTCGTTTTTAACCTTTTTATAAGTACTTACATCCGACAAAAGTTCTTGTATTTTAGAATTATAATCTGACGTATCCATGACTACCGTGGCGTTTCCCTTATCTGCGCGGAGAATCGTCAGTTCTGGTTTATTGCGTAGGTTCTTTAACGCTATAAATTCGTCTTTGGGAAGATTCGGTTTAGGCACTGAACATCGACGTAACATAGACGTAATATCTTGACGTATCGCCTCCAAATCTTCTTTCCGCATATTGTTTTTAAATAAACAGTCCTCGACACTACAGATAATTTCTTCGTACGGTAATTTGCGAGGTGTTATTGCAAAGTTCAGGCCTTTGGATAAAACCCTAATTGTTGCATCATCCAGTGTTTGTTTTGACAGATTATAGAGCGCGATTAATCTATGATCTGTGTTTGTCAATGGTTGCTTTCGGTTCTGGCATTGATCTTAGAGCATACATTACATGGAGGGAGCACTGTGTGAGCAGAAAGCGTGATCGGTGCTCTAAGGTTTAGGTAGAGTCTGTCTCTCTCGCACATGCTTCATGCTTCTGATAAACAGCAAATGACAGTGACTGTGCGAGAGAGACAGACTCTACCTAAACTCAGTCTCTCTCTCTCTCTACGCCGATCACGCTTTCTGCTCACACAGTGCTCCCTCCATGTAATGTATGCTCTAAGGCATTGATTCAGATGTTTGACATTTGACTTGTTCGTTAATTTTTGATATTTTTCTATATGTTTGTTTTTGCATTCGTTATATTTACTAATTTCGCGTTTATTTAATGTTTCCATGCAAAAATTATAGTCAAACGTCGTTAAAACTTTCTTTAATTCACTGGATGATGTGTCTATGGATGTGTTTATGTCATATAGATCGGAGCGTTTTTCTTGGATTACCGTCCGTAACAACTTTTTACTCGCCTGATTTAAGATCTTAGCGCTTCCTCGAATGTCCTTTTTGGTTGATATTTTGACACACGTAGGAATGAGATTATGGTCTCGGCATCTCTTCAAGAAATTTAAGGCTGTTAGATATCTTGCGCGCTTGGTCTTTAGATCTTCTAATCGGCGTATTTTATTTGCAATTACCAGTCCGTACTGGTTTACATAATGATTTCTTATATTTACGCGAACACTACACATTGAAATAATACTAGATTTTACGGAATTTATCGCGTATATTTAACTTTTTAATACCCGACGTTTCGAACGCTTTACAGCACTCATGGTCACGGGCGGGACTGAGATGTTCAACGTCCATATGTCATAGTTAACCGCGGTTACCATAGATTAAGATTTTAACTTTTGTTCCGATCTATGCAGTATGAACTTATGGTATCTTGAAGTCTTGCAGTTGTATGCTTGGGTCGTATGTATTTTTGGTTATATGTGTATTTATTATAGGATCCCAAGCAGAAGGTAGCACCCAGCCATCTTCTCTATTGAAATTAGGATGTTTTTTGATTTCAATAGCCTCGCGAATCATCCTTGGAAGGAATCGGTGTTCTTTAGCGAGGATTTGCGGTCTATCAAATCTGATGTAGTGACGGGGGCGATCCTGTACGTGTTCACAGACTGCAGACTTCCCGGAGCGTCGATTCTTCACATCAGCTATATGTTCTTTAACGCGGGTTTTTATTGATCTTTTAGTTTGTCCTATGTAGGAGAGATGTGCAGTCATTGTTTACATGCTTACCTGTTGAAGACTGCATCTCAATTGTAACTAGAAGGCTGGAAGAAAACAACATGCCCGTAGAATATGCAGTATTACTCAGACACTGCCTTACATCTGGCTACCTATTGTGGAAGGAGGAGTTCTACAAGCAAGTAGATGGTGTGGCGATGGGCTCACCTGTATCTCCCATTGTCGCCGACATATTCATGGAAGACTTTGAGGAGAAAGCCCTGCTTAGTTCTCCCATAAATCCAAGATTCTACAAGCGGTACGTAGACGACACTTTCACAATTCTACCTTTAGATAAAGTAACTGCATTTTTAGACCATCTTAACTCTATAAATTCTAAAATTCAGTTCACAATGGAGTTAGAGGCAAACAATTCCTTAGCTTTTCTAGATGTGTTAGTAATTCGGAATCCTGATAACACCTTGAGCCATACTGTGTATAGAAAAAAGACCCATACAGATAGATATTTAAACGGTGATTCTCACCACCATCCTTTACAGTTAGCAACCGTGGGTAAATCTTTGTTTCAGAGAGCACGAGGGATCTGTGACAGTAAACACCTGGCTGCAGAGCTCCACCATGTCAAGCAAGTTTTGCATGACAACAAGCTTCGAGTCCCGCGCCTACGTCACAGTGAACGAGTGAAGCCGGCCACAGTCGAGCGTGTACCTGCTGTACTGCCATATGTTAGAGGAGTCACTGACAAGATTGGCTACATCTTGAAGCGCGCTTCCATCAAAACATACTTCAAGCCGCTGAAGAAGATTGGTCAGTTTTTACCATCGGTCAAGTGTAATGTCCCTCTGCAAGATGCAGGAGTGTACAAGCTTGATTGTGAATGTGGTCTCTCCTACATAGGACAAACTAAAAGATCAATAAAAACCCGCGTTAAAGAACATATAGCTGATGTGAAGAATCGACGCTCCGGGAAGTCTGCAGTCTGTGAACACGTACAGGATCGCCCCCGTCACTACATCAGATTTGATAGACTGCAAATCCTCGCTAAAGAACACCGATTCCTTCCAAGGGTGATTCGCGAGGCTATTGAAATCAAAAAACATCCTAATTTCAATAGAGAAGATGGCTGGGTGCTACCATCTGCTTGGGATCCTATAATAAATAAAATTAAATCCCAAC